TTTTTTAGAGTTGGAGTCTCTCTGTTGCCCAGGCTGGAGTGGAGTGGCACACTCACAGCCACCTCAGCATTGTCTTGCTGGGGCAATGCTTCCACCTCAGCTTTCCAAGTAGCCAGAACTATAGGTGCGTGCTACCACGTCTGGCTAATTTTTTATTTATTGTAGAGATGAGGTCTCGCCAAGTTTCCTGGGCTGGTCTCGAACCCGTGGACTCAGGCAATCCACTCACCTTGGCCTCCCAAAGTGCTGGGATTACAGGCCGAGTCACCAAGCCTGGCCAGTTTTCTTATAATTATTCATTGAAAAGACTAAAAAAAAAAGCTATAAAACTGCTGAGACAAGCCATGATGGCAGGAAAGGACAGAGCAGCAAACCAAGAGGACACAAGTGACCAAAGAGCACACAGTGGGAAATCCGGGTCGAAAGAGAAATGAAAGGTTGAAAGTGAGTCTGGACGCAAGTCAGGAAGCCCCTGGGCCCAGGGTCTGCCGCGCACTAGGTGCGAGGTTGCGGCAGGTCACTCTGCCACGCTGCTTCTTTCTACATAAAACGAGCTTCTCTGACTGGATCACTGCTGTCCTCTGAATTACATGAGAGGTGTGTGGCCAAGTGCCCACTCAAGCCGAAGGGCCCCGACGGAGTCCCACATACTGCTGTGTGAGCCCGGGCAAGCTACTGTATCGGTATCGGTATCTTGAGAGGCGTTAACAGACGATGAGTTAACGCAGGCAGGTGCTTGGCGGGGCATCCCGGAGGCCTTCGTGAGAGCTGTGACCAGTGCAGTAATACTCGTCAACTGCCCAGAACACAGTAGGGCTGTCAGCAGTCCCACTGCTCCTCCTCCTGGAATCTGGCTCTGGTCAAGACACTGGTGTCACCATCATGAACAGCCATGGACAAGTACTTGCTGGATGAGCTGGCCAACCCTGCTCTTGGCAACCCCCCATCACCCCGAGGCCTTGCAGCCTGTTTCCTGTCTTCTACTGCCATTAAAAAAAAAGTTGTCATTGCCTATTTAAATTCTTAAAATTTTAAAAATGTGGGGCCCAATTCAGGGTTGGGTATGCAAATGTTCATTACGCAGGCGCCCTTGCTGATGAGGCATGCTCCCCCTTCCCCTGGCAGTTTCCCACTACTGCTAACCTCACCCTTTTTTTTTTTTTAACTCGGTTGTCTCCCTCTGTCTGGGCTGGAGTGCGGTGGCTCTATCACAGCTCACAGCAGCCTCAAACTCCCGGGCTCAGGTGATCCTTATGCTTCAGCCTCCAGAGTAACTGAGACTACAGGTGCATGCCACCATGCCTGAATTTTTTGACTTTTTAGAGATGGACTGTTTCCCAGGCTGGTCTCAAACTCCTGGGCTCCAGCAATCCTCTCATTTTGGCCTCCGAAAGTGCTGGGATTACAGGCGTGAGTCACCGTGCCCTGCCCCTACTGCCATCTTTGTGGAAGAAGTGGCAGGCTTCCTCCTGTGCCTGCCCAGGGCAGGAAGCCATCTATCGGAATGCATCGGGTCCCACAGACACCCCTGGAGAGGCCCCGGAGGTGGGCCCAGGACCGCTCCAAGGAGCCCTGCCCATCTGCACTTACTGGCAGGGAGACACTTGCTCTCAGGCATTGTCACTCCAGGGACAGGCTGCCCCCTTGAGCTCAACTGCCTTGTGTCCAGTGCTCAGCAAGGCAGCTCTGGCCACAGAAGCACTTTTGTTGGTACAGAACCCAGTGGGCAAGGAGGATGGCCATCCCGTCAGGCTGGCCTCAGCTTGACACCTGTCAGTCATGACCTCAGTAGCACCAAGCCTGTCAGAACTGCTTTAGGATGAGGAAGCGGATGACAGACAAGAGCAGGACCAGCTTAGGCCAGGACAGGGCCTGCGGGAAAAGCTTCGTGGAGACTTTATACAAAAACCTTTTATTTGCTGCTGACTTCTTCTCCCAGCCACCCGGGACCCTGTCAGTCCTATGGCATCTGCTGTCTGCTCTTGACAGGGGGGGCCCTGGAGACATGGTAGCAGGTTACAAAAGGTGGGTCTCCTCACCCACCGGTTGTGGAAGTTGAAGGAAGCTTTCCCGCCTGGCTGAAGCTACAGCAGCTTCCCAGGGCAGCGCCCCAAGTCAAGAGGACCCATGCCCCCTGAGCAGCTGTGAGGAAGATACTCCGTCTCTTGAGGCCCTGTCGCGCACGCCTTCCACCCCAGACCAGGCCAGGCCCTGGTGGGACCCAATCTCTCCTAGGGAGGGTGGCCCAGCAGCAAAGGTGGGAGGAGGTGTGTGCTGCAGTCCTTGGTCCTGATCAACAAACGAGAAGTGTGGCCTGAACTGAAATGGGAGAGGGGAAGGGGGGTGTGGCGGACAGACGGTGGTTTGGGCAGGGCCCCTTGCTAAGAGAGGATGTGGGAGAGAGGACCGGCACGTCGCATCCCTTGGCCACCTGGAAGAGGGAGGCCTGTCCCTACTTAGACAAAGGGTTAACAACACCATCGACGGTCATGGCTGCCACAGCCCACTGGGGGCCTCACGGTGGGGCCTTAGGCTCTTGCCCAGTCCTGCTGCTCAGAGCCTGACACACAGACCTCTTCTGGGAGGGCTCTTGGCCCCCAGGCTTGCTGGAAGATGAGACTCCAGGGCAGCCCTCTCGGAGAGGAAGAGTCTGGAAACGGTCCCCGTTCGTCCTTCCCGTCCCAGGTCCTGCTCTGCAGGCTCAGAAGTCCGAGTCTGCATCCATGAGCTCAGCCTCCACCAGGTTGGTGCGGGAGTGAATGGGCCCCAGACCCTGGCGGCGGCTATGGGCCCAGGCCGTAGGGGCGGGGGCGCTGGGCAGGAATGGATCATGAGGGGGACTGGGCTCTGGGCAGAACGGGTGGGAAACCAGGGTCCAGGCGCCCTGTCGGCAGGACTCCCTGGCTCCCCAGGCACCTGCAGCCACCAGGCACTTCTGTCGGGGTAGCTGAGGCAGTCGGGGGATGGCGCTGGGGGCAGGGGCAGCGTGGGGCAGCTCTGGGGATGGCACCAGTGGGCACACCTCCTTCCTCTTCCTCCTCTTCTTCTTCCGGCCCAGGCGCTTCTGCAGCTCCGGGGAGATCTCTGCCTCCACCAGCCACAGGTTGGCCTGTTCCTCTGGGGGCACTGACAGGAGAGGAAACCTGAGCCCGGGCCCCGCCACTGTGCCCACACCAGCCCCGCGCTCCTAGGGCCCCTTCTCTCCCGGCTCTGGACCATCCTAGACTTCTCGGGCCTCAGATTCCCTGGGGCCTTTCCCTCTTCCTCCCTCTCTGGCAGCCCCTAGACTCCAGTCCCAGGACCCCCAGCCTCTGTGACCGCTGCCTTCCTCCATAAGCCAGAACCCTCCTACCTGGAGTTGCCACGGGGGTGACAGACACATCCTGGGGCAGTATGGCTCCCCTCCGAGCTACCATCTTGGTGACGTGCTGGGCCCAGGCAGAGGAGACATCGGCAGAGGGCTCATTGAGATCAAAGGCCAAGCCCGCTGGGGGGAAGAAGGTCAGCACCATTGGACCCTTCAGGGGCGCTTCCCTGCTCTCCCAGAGGACACTCACCCGCAGCCAGTGCCACCACCCATCGGGGTCTCAGGAGAGGGGCCTTGTGGCCTCGAACCCTGACTTGCTCTTGTCCAGGGGGAGCAAACTGCAGAATTTATTTATTTATTTATTTTGAGTTGGAGTCTCACTCTGTCGCCCAGACTGGAGTGCAGTGGCCGCTTCTGGCCACCGCAGCCTCGACCTGCTGGGCTCCTGTGATCCTTCCGCCTCAGCCTTCCGAGTAGCCGGAATTACAGGCATGCGCTACCACACCCGGCTGATTTTTTGATTTATTGTAGAGATGAGGTCTCGCTGTCCAGGCGGGTCTCGAACCCGCGGGCTCAGGCAATCCACTTTCCTCAGCCTCCCAAAGGTGCGGGATTACAGGCTGAGCCACTGAGCCCGGCTTATTTATTTACTTTTTGAGTTGGAGTCTCACTCTGTCACCCAGACTGGAGTGCAATGGCCGCTCCCGGCCACCGCAGCCTCGACCTGCTGGGCTCTGGCGATCCTTCCGCCTCAGCCTTCCCAGTAGCCGGAATTACAGGCGTGTGCTACCACGCCCAGCTGATTTTTGATTTATTGTAGAGATGAGGTCTCACCAAGTTGCCTAGGCGGGTCCCGAACTCGCGGGCTCAGGCAATCCACTCACCTCAGCCTCCCAAAGGCGCGGGATTACAGGCTGAGCCACTGAGCCCGGCTAAACGGCAGAATTTAGGAGGGGAGGGGGAGGTGAGTCCTCTTAGAGCCAAAGTCCCAGCAAGCAGACCAGGGGCAGAATCGTGAGGGGAGGAGCCGGGGAGAGAATGAGCATGACTGAGAGGCAGGAGTGCCTCGTCCCCCCAGACGTGACTCGGCAGCCTGGGCGGGAACAGGCTGGGTGCTAGGGCTGCAGCTCACCCACAGGCCCGTCATGGGAGACGGTGTGCATGCTGAAAGACAGCTCCTGGCCTGGGTTCTGCAGCAGCTCACGCCGCTTGGAGAAGGCCTTGGCAATCATCTTGCTCTTCTTGATCCGTTTGGGCTCATCGTCGCTCTGCCCAGTCAACCTGCAAGCAGACAGGCAGGGTAGGGCGTGGAGGGGCGGCCACTTCCTGCCCAACCTTGAGAAGGGCCAGCGCTCCACGCCCCCCAGGGAAGGAAGCCCTCAGGGGCCTGGGTCCCTCCTGGACTCTGAGGAGTCCTGGCACACAGTCAGCCAGCGTTCTCTCCTCCACTCAGAATATGCTGGTAGCTGGCCGTGCCCCACTTCCTTGGTCCAGGCCCGGCCTCAGGCTGCCCAAGGCCGGGATGGACCACCAGGGGACAGTGGCGAGCTGTGCGGGAAGTAGGATCGGAGTGGCGGGAGGCTGCAGGGAAGGACGGCAGGAGCAGCGAGGCCCGGCTGCCGAGCCCACCTGCACCAGGTGCGCCTCCAGATGAGCAGCGTGGCCTTAGTCCAGACCCAGGTGCTCATGGCAATGCCAGTTCCAAACATGGCGAACAGGTTGATCTTCTCCACCAGGAGGCTGGGGCGATTCTTGATCTCACAGTCAGGGATGGGCTTCTTTGTGGGCAGCCCGATGGTCACGTTGGCCTGGCACCTGGCGAGGACAAGAGGCAGGGGAGACTTTTCTCTCCTTCTTGTTTTTTGAGACAGGGTCCTGCTCTGTCACCCAGGCCGGAGCGCAGTGGCATGACCATGGTTCACCGCAGCCTCAGCCTCCTGAGAAGTTGGGACTATGAGGTAGGGCTTTCTGAGTCCACCGGGCAGGTCCTCAGACAGTCGACCGAAGACTTTAGAAAGCCGCCCCCACAGCGCTCCCCTCCACCCTAGCTGCTTATTAGCATCACCTGGGGAGCTTTTAATGGCTATGATGTCTGGGCCCCACCCCAGACAATTAAATAAAATCTCTGGGGCTGAGACCCAGGCATGAATGTGTTTAAAGTTTCTCAGACAGGCGGCTGGAACACTTAAGCAACAGCCTGAAGCGGCCAGGACGTGGACTAGTGTCCATTTTAATGGGGACCTAACAGCTGTCCCTGGAACAGTTGAGAGGCTTCACTCTCTCCGATTCATCTTGTTTTGACACGAAAAGGCACAGGCAACACTAGCAAGCACGAACGGGCTGTTAATTTGCCGGGGTGAGGTGACTACCCTCGTGCGGGGGTCTACAATAGCTCTGTAGGGGTGTACCCAGATTAGAGAGAGGGCAACACAGAGCCAGGCAGAGAAGTCAAAACAGGAAATAGCTTTTTGTTTTGGAGACAGGGTCTCACTGTCGCCCAGGCTAGAGTGCCGTGGTGAGATCGTAGCTCAGCACAGCCTCAACCTCCTGGGCCCAGGCGATCCTTCCGCCTTGACCTCCTGAGTAGCTGAGACTACAGACGCACACCACCATACCCAGCTAATTTTTGTATTTTTTTGTAGAGATGAGATCTCACTTGGTTGCCCAGGCTGGCCTCCAGCTCCTGCGTTCAAGTGATTCTCCTGCCTCAGCCTCCCAAAATATTGGGATGACAGGTGTGAACCACTGTGCCTGGCCAAAATGGCTTCTTGACAGTCACAGGCAGCCAGGTGGTGGGGGTGGGCTGGGCAGGGAAGGGCAGGGCAGAGCAGAGCTGAGCAGAGCCCTGAAGGTCGCTTGCTGTGTATGACAAAGGACAGAGCAGTTGCCGTCTTGGGCACTCAGGTGCTATGTGCTGAATCTGCTGCCTGAGGCAGGGACTGGGCGAATCTCTGTGGTGCAGCAGGGGAGGTGGAGGCTGTCCTCTGTCTGGCTCCAGCTCCCACTTCTGTGGCCCCCGGGCCCGCCCACTCACAGCACGTAGTCCCGGAAGCTGCGCTCCCACTCGGCCTGGTTGAAGAAGTCATAGAAGTGGCAGCTGAAGGTGATGAGCACAAAACCGAAGGCCAGGAAGCCAAAAATGCCTGCAGGGGACAGGGGCAGGCAGGGCAGGGTGTCACCAACCCAGAACCTGCGGCTGTAGTGGGAGAAGGGCGCCTGTCCCACTGAGGCCTGTGAGGCTGTGGAGGCTGGTGTGCATTCCCGCTGGGCGCAGTTCAAGAACGGCTTTCTCCAGAAGGAAGCAGTCAGGGCACTTGAGGCCATGGCAGGAGGGCCACGCGGGCGGTTGGTGCACACCAGGCAGCAGTGCTGGCATGAGCTGGCATCCCTCCTGAGAGGCCCTCCTCCCTCCGGTTGCCTCCACCACCGCCACCTACACACACGCCCCGCCCTTGTCCCCACAGCTGCTAGCGTGTCCCACTGCCTCGCTGTACCCTGCAGGTCCCACAGCCCCTGGGGGTGGAGTGTTGGGCCAGCTGGGACCTCAGCCCGAGTCACCCGGGGCCACTCACCCAGGCGTAGCATGGTCTCGTTGATTTTACTGGCAGCCTTCTCACTCAGCAGCCCGGGGTGCTTGCTCTTGATGGAGAACAGAGTCATGACTCCTGAACAGAAGGGGGCCTCAGACATTAGTGGGGGGTGGGGAGAAGCCACTCTCCTGGGAGGGATGGGTGTGGGGGGCAGGAGGGCCCCATGGCCCTGGAGTCCCACGTCTGATGACGCCCGTGCTGATTTAAAGCCTGGGGAGGCCGGGCAATTCCAGCACTCTGGGAGGCTGAGGCGGGAGGATCGCTTGAGCCCAGGGGTTCAAGAGCAACATAGCAAGATCCTGTCTCTACAAAAATGTACGTGGTGGCACATGCCTGTAGTCCCAGCTACTCGGGAGGCTGAGGCAGAAGGATCGTCTGAGCCCAGGAGGCTGAGGCTGTAGTGAGCTGTGACTGTGACACTGCACTCCAGCCTGGGCAAGAGAATGAGACTCCAACTCAAAAAAAAAGAAGAAAATAAAAATAAAATAAAGCTTGGGGAACTGGGACGACCAGGGATGAGCTCAGACAGTCTAGAAGAGAGACAGAGCCGTGGTCCTGGTCCAGCTTCCCTTGGGTAAGATGGCCAAGTCAAAGCCGCTGTGATGAAAAAGGTATAAAACAGAGACTCAAGAATAGCTCTGTCCAGTAGAAATAGAATGTGAGCCACATACACAATCTCAAATTTTCTTCTTTTTTTTTTTTTTTTTGAGTTGGAGTCTCACTCTGTCGCCCAGGCTGGAGGGTAGTGGCACGTTCCCGGCCACCGAGAGCCTTGACCTGCTAGGCTCTGGCAATCCTTCCACCTCAGCCTTCCAAGTAGCCGGAACTACAGGCACGCACTATCACGCCGGCTAGTTTTTGATTTATTGTAGAGACGAGGTCTCGCCAAGTTGCCCAGGCGGGTCTCGA